GAGATCTCTCTTCGCATTAGGTGACCAAAGTATCTGAGCTTCAGCTTCATTATCAATGAGCAATCAGGGTTGATGAGAGAATATTACAGATGAACTATACTTCCAACTTTTGTTTGTTCTCTCATGTTTCTGAACGCACTTAATGATTTTATTTTTAGGATTTGTCAAGAAATTTTATACTTCTCTATATTAATGGCAGTTTGACTTATATTTTTGATCCCTAAAAAGAGCTCTTGAACATATTTGGTATACATTAGCAATGGGGGAGAAATCACAAACAACTAATGTGAAGTCAACAAATGGCCTTGGGAAGTCCTCCGCAATTAATAATAATTTTCTGCTTAACTATTTGTGAAAAACTAAACAAGACAGACACTATGATTGTCTAAGACCAAGTGGACTTTCTGTAATTCAATATGTCAAGTACAAGTCCCTCTATAGGGAAATTCAGTGTTTTCATCTTTTTGGATATGCAAAGCTGTTCCACTCATTGAAGTTAATGGAAACTCATGCTAACACATATGCTCACCAGAGCACTGATACCTACAAGGAATTAATGGATTTGCATAAAAAAGAAAGTTATGACCACAGTTTTCCTGTAAGCTCTTCACTATTTTCTTAAATATTTTTCTCTGAACCTACCATGAAGCTTTCTCAAAAGAAATGAAAAGCTTTTCTTGAGTTTTAGAAATATTAGCAGAAATGTAGATTTGTGGAGAATATGTCATACAAATTGTCCAAATTTGGCTGCCTTTAATGAGATCTGAGAGATGCCATTAGATTACTGAAGTGGATTAAATCTCTTTACAGGTAGAGTTGGATGGATGAGTGGTATCAATAAAGTTTACAGAAATCTCGAATGTATTTGGATTTATCATATACAGAGATTCAAAAAGGAAATAATGTCTTAAATCCCTCTCTGTCATGGTAACAATATCTAAAAACAATTTCTATCCTTTTAATATAATCTGTGCATTAAAAAAAAGTTGGTTTTTTACACAATATTCTTTTATTGTATTCTGGCCTCTGCTATTTATTATTTGTTCTGGAAGCTAATGGTTCATACTGACTGATATGTTGGAAACTTATTTGCTTGCTTGTCTTTGACCTAGGTGGCTGCTACACATTGGGGATGTATGAGTTTGGGGAATATACAGAGCTCATGAGCAACTCCCAGTGAGGGTATTGTTCAGAAACAAAATTGGGGGAAGCTATATATTTATTATTGTTCTTTCTCTTAAAAAATAATAAACAATTTATCCCCCAAAATAAACTCAAAATTCATTTACAACAGCATATATCTGACAACATGTTTCGATGTCTAGCTATTAGGAGTTTGTAGGCTCTGAAAATATATAGGTGTCACTCAGTTTGTAAATTGATATTTGGATTTTTTAATTCCTTTATCAAAAGGACAAACATTACTTAGATTTCCCAGTTTAGCATTCAAAAGTACTCTCTTTTTCTAAATGTATTTGTGTCCTTTTCTCTTTACCAATATGTTTTTTTTTTCATCTATTGTTGGTAAATTAAATAATTTTGGTGATTTGGTAGACATGTTTTGAATAAAGACTGTCCATGGAAGGGTTTCCTGTCCATTAAAGAAGGGTTTTCTGTTTATGTTTTATGAAATAATAATGTGTGTGTGTGTGAGTGTGTATAAGCACATTCACATACATACACGTATACCAGTGTTGTCCAAACTTGGCCACTTTAAGATGAGTGGACTTCAACTCCCAGAATTCCCCAGCCAGCCATGCTGGGTGGGGAATTCT